TGGTCCCACCACTGTTATTTCTTTTACGAAAATGACATTTGCAGGACAGATGTCTTATAGAATGTACACATTTTGGATCTGTCTGATTCATACTTCATAAAAAGACAGAAGTTAAGCATTTTGGCAGAAATACCATATAGACGGTTTTGTGTATGCCTCATTACATCACTTCCGGAGACATGTCAGTTTGACCCATTACAGGTAATGCCAAATTTGATCACATGGATAAAGGTGTGACTGCCAGATCTCCACTATGAAAACATATCTTTCTCTTTGAAATTCATAAATAATTGGTAGGGTGACACCTTGAGACCATGTATATATCCTCTTCACCTACAATCTTTCACTCAGTGGTTTTAATGGTCAATGATGATCCTTGCCTGACTCAATTATCAGCACAAATCATTATCACTCTACACATTTAGCCACCCTTCTGCTGTAAAGGACAACTTTACATTCTGCCCCTCTCCCCTTTCTCTTTGTATTGGGGTAGGGTTTTTGGTAAGTATCACTATGGACTAACACATTATCTTTTCATTCAATGTGTTATAATTCATTACTATCATTTTTCTTTTTGATTTTCAAATTGTCCCAAATTTGGCCTGTGAGAACCCTTCTTTCAGGTGGGCTGCTAGGTCTTTTGACATGTCCCATCCATTTCTGAGCTCTCCTTGCTTTCTGATATAAAATGTTCTAGGATCTCATTGCCCCATGTTCTGGAATCAGGAATTTCTCTAAGGAGCATTGGCTCCTTTTAGGAAATAGTATTTGGAAACCAAACTTTGGGCACTGAGTATGTTCATTCTTACTAGGGCATCATTGCTTCTAAGGCCTTTCCATGGACTGACATAGAAAATAAATTTTAAAAGATCTGTGAGTTCATATTTATACCTCCAGTTCAAATTCAAAACCATGCTGTACTTCTCAGTTCCCCCCTACTCCATATTTGTATCTCCTCAGAACACTGGTTCCCCAAAATCCAATATAGTTACTCATTTGCTCTGTCCTACATTACACACAAAATCATTTCAGAATTACTATATAAGCACCACTAACAACAACAAATTGCTAAGTATAAAGATCTCTTTGTAGGTTATGATTCTTAGAATATTTCCCCCCAAGTCTTTACAGTCAAAATATTTATAAGCTACTTAAATCAATTTTGGGGTATGTTATGAATTTGTTAGGTTCATTTGTTTCTATTTGTATTCAAATTTAAAGTTTGTTTTTTTTTATCATTTTTTACTTAATTTTGTTGTTTGAATATGTGAAATACTTGCATAGTTCAAAAGTCACAACTATAGAAAAACATATCCTCAGGGAAGTCTAACTTCCATCCTTATCCTCCCCACACTGCCCCCCGACCCCGACACTCCTTACAGATAATTATTTCATTGGTCTCTGGGTTAATCCTTCCTATGTTTCTCTTTTGCAAAGATAAGCTTTATTTTTTTTTATTTTTCCCTTCATTACTAAAAATGGACCATAATTACCGTACAGGCATACCTCATTTTATTGTGCTTCACTTTACTGTGCTTCACAGATACTGTGTTTTTTTACAAGTTGAAGGTTTCTGGCAACCCTGCATCAAACAAGGCTTTTCCTGACATTTTTCCAACAGCATTTGCTCACTTTGTGTCTCTGTGTCACAACTTGGTAATTCTCACAGTATTTCAAACTTTGTCGTTATTATTATATTTGTTATGGTGACCTGTCATCAGAGATCTTCGGTGTCACTATTGCAATTGTTTTGGAGCACCACAAACTGCACCCATATAAGATAGCAAACTTGATTGCTACATGTTCTGTATTCTGACTTCTCCACCAACCGGACATTCCCCCATCTCTCTCCTACTCCTCAGACCTATTCCCTGAGACACAATGATACTGAAATTAGGCCAATTAATAACCCTACAGTAGCCTCTAAGTGTTCAAGGGAAAGAAAGAGTCACACATCTCTCACTTTAAATCAAAAGCAAGAAATGATGAAGCTAAGTGAGGAAGGCACGTCGAAAGCCGAGACAGGCCAAAAGCTAGGCCTCTTGTACCAGTTAGCCAAGCTGTGAATGCAAAGGAAAAATTCTTGAAAAAAAATTAAAAGGACCATAGGGGTAGGGGGAGAAGGAAAACTGAATGGGAAGAAATCAGAAGGGAGACAAACCATATGAGACTCTGGACTCCAGGAAACAAACTGAGGGTTGTGGAAAGGGAGGTGGGTAGGGGGATGGGGTAACTGGGTGATGGGCACTGGGTGATATACTCAACTAATCAATCACTGAACATTATATCAAAAACTAATAATGTACTATACCTTGGCTTCTTGAATTTAAATTAAAAAATGGTTATAATAGTAAAGTTTATGCCATGTATATTTTGCCACAATAAAAAGAATTAGAATCGTGTAAAAAAAAAAAAAAGTGCTACTCCAGTGAACACATGAATGATAAGAAAGCAAAACAACCTTATTGTTGATAATGGAGAAAGTTTTAGTGGTCTGGATAGAAGATCAAACCAGCTACAACATTCCCTGAAGGTAAAACCTAATCTAGACTAAGGCCCTAATTCTCCTCAATTCTAAGAAGGCTGAGAGAGGTGAGGAAGCCGCAGAAGACAAGTTGGAAGCTGGCAGAGCTGGTTCATGAGGTTTAAGGCAAGAAGTCATCTTCACAGCATAAAAGTGCAAGGGGAAGCAGCAAGTGCTGTTGTAGAAGCTGCAGCAAGTTCTCCAGATGATCCAGCTAGGATCATTCATGAAAGTGGCTACCCGAAACAACAGATGTTCATTGTAGATGAAACAGCCTTGTATTAAAAGACGATGCCATCTAGGACTTTCATAGCTAGAGAGAAGTCAATGCCTGGTTTCAAAGCTTCAAAAAACATGCTGACTCTTGTTAAGGACTAATGCAGCTGGTAACTTTAAGATGAAGCAAGGCTCCTTGATCATTCTGAAAATCTTAGGGTCCTTAAGAATTACGCTCAATCTACTCTGCCTGTGCTCCATAAATGGAACCATAAAGTCTGGATGACAGCACATCTGTTTACAACTCGAATTATGGAATATTTTAAGCCCACTGTTGAGACCTACTGCCCTGAAAAAAAGATTCCTTTCAAAATATTACTGCTCAGTGACAACACACTTTGGGTCACCCAAGAGCTCTGATGGAGATGTACGAGATTGATGATGTTTTCATGCCTGCTAACTCAACATCCATTCTATAGCCCATGAATCAAGGAATAATTTTGACTTTCAAGTCTTATTGTTTAAGAAATACATCTCGTAAGGCTATTGCTGAAAACCTTGAGGAAAGGATTCACCATTCTAGATGTCATTAAAAACATTCATGATTCATAAGAGGTCAAAATATCAACATTAAATATAGGAGTTTGGAAGAAGTTGATTCCAACCCTCACAGATGGCTTTGAGGGGTTCAAGACTTCAGTGGAGAAAGCAACTACAGATGTGGTGGAAACAGAAGAGAACCAGAAGTGGAGCCCAAAGATGTGACTGAACTGCTGCAATCTCATGATAAAACTTGAACAAATGAGGGGCCGCTCTTCACGCATGAGCAAAGAAAGTGATTTCTTGAGATGGAATCTACTCCTGATCAAGATGCTGGGAAGACTCTGGAAATGACAACAAAGGATTTAGAGTATTCCATAAACTTAGTTGACAAAGAGACAGCAGGGTTTCACGGACTCTAATTTTGAAAGAAGTTCTGCTGTAGGGAAAATGCTATCGAACAGCATCACATGCTACCAAGAAAGTGTTCATGAAAGGAAGAGTCCATCAATGTGGCAAATTTCATTGTTGTCTTATTTTAAAACATTGCTACAGCTACCCCCACCTTCAGCAATCACAGCCCTGATCAATCGCAGCCATCAGCACTGAGGCATGGACCTTCACCAGCAAAGAGATTACAATTCACTGAAAGCTCCGATGACAGCATTTGTAGCAATAAAGTATTTTTAAATTAAGGTGTGTACATTGTGTTTTTAGACATAATGCTATTGCATGCTTAATAGACTACAGTATAGTGTGAACATCACTTTTATATGCACTAGAAAGCAAAGAAACTCATTTGACTCTCTTTATTGCAGTGGGTCTAACCGAAATTATTGTAATTTCAATGTCTCTATATATATTTTCTATCTGGAAATCATTCCAGATCAACTCATAGAAATCTTCCTTATTCTTTTTAATATCCCAGTTTATTCAATCAGTCTCCTATGGACAGACACTTAGGCTTTTTCTAATATTGTGCTGTTACAAATAATCCTGTAATAAACAACTTTGGGCATATGTAATTCCCTATTTGTACAGGTAATTCATCAGGGTAAATCACTAGAACTTGGACTGGGAGGTAAATGCGGGCAGAGTTTTGTTAGGTCTTACAAAACTCTCATAAGATTGTAGCACCTTACATTCCCATCAGCCATACCAGAACGTGTTTGTTTCTTCACAGACTTACCAGCTAAGCATATTCTAATCTTTTGGACTTTTGCCAATTTGAAAAGGTGACAATGGTCTCTCTCCATGTATTTTAATTTGCATTTCTCTTATTGTTCATGAAGTTGAACATCATTTCATATATTTTATAAGTCATATCTTTTTTGGTGAACTGTTCATGTCTTCTGCTCATTTTTAAAACCACAACTTAAATCTTTTCTTAATGGAAAAGTTACTTCAATAATGCCTTCAAACTTTGTTTCAAAAAGAATAAAAAATAAAAATTGGAAGAAGAATAGATGACTTAACTGAGAATACTAAATAGCACTTAAAACTATACTGTCACATTCTATACTGTGTTCTGAATAGTTCATCAAAAAGTGGCAGTTATTTTAATTGAGAAGAATGTTAAGAAAATGCATTCAAGTACAACTTCTTGATGCTAACCAACATAACTAGCTAAGCCCACAAATAACATGCTACTGAGTAAGGTCAAAGTTCAGGAAACAGATGATTGAGAGACATTTTGTTATAACAGTTTCATCACACCCACCTCATTAGTACAGGTAATTCTTCGAGGATGAGGGGCTTCCTGTTGCAACTGATACACTGTAAAGACAGAAAGTAAATCATTCCATATGAGCTCACAGAAATTGTCCTTACTCTTTTAAGTGTTATAGTTTATTCAGTTAGTCTCCTATGGACAAACATTCAGGTTTTTTTCTAATATTCTTGGTAATTTAAACTGGAACTCAGCTGAAATTTAAATTGCACAATCATTAAGTGATTCATCAAAAATTAATTGCTAAATTCAAGATGAGAAGATATATGATTAAAGTACTTAACATTTTTCAATCGCCTTAGCAGTATCAATGCTTATATAGTTATTAATGAATTTCTCAGTACCTGGAGACAGTAACAAAACATTGTTAATCAAGTTCAGAGATCACAAATAGGTATCTTGAGGTCAAAATTGGCTCACATGTTTGGTTTGCTGTTTTCTAAATTTAAATTTGTTTTTAACATTTAAAAAAAGAGATTTAACAGCAACAACAAAGGTAAAAGAGAATTCCACTTCTGAAAAATAAGACAACATCAGAGCAAGCACTCAATAAAGGGGAGCTAATTATGAGCCCTCCCTGCAAACAGGGGCATCCATGCTCTACTTGCCCTCCGTTGGCACTTGGCTCACTTGCCTCATTCATTACAGGTTAGGGCCCTGTTGCAGTCAAGCAATTCCTATCAAAAAGCAACAAAACTAGAGGCGCCCAGGTGGCGCAATCAGTTAAGTGTCCGACTCTTGATTTCTACTCAGGTCACGATCTCATGGCTGTGAGATCCAGCCCCGCATAGGGCTCTGCGCTCAGTGGGGAGTCTGCTGGAGGATTCTCTCTCCTTCTACCCCTCCCCCTGCTCATGCTCTCTAAATAAATAAATAAAATCTTTTTTAAAAAGACAATAAAACGATATTTATGTAAAAAGAGTCCTCAACTTAGACATCTTGCTAGTTCTATTTTCCTATTGGTTCGTATTTTTAAGTTTTTAGAATTATGTTGGGTAGAGCTCAGGCACTGAGGTTACTAAAAGAAACTATAAAATTCAGTAGCAGAATTGTCACACACAAAAAATGTCATTTTTAAGAACATGATAGCTACTGTAAGACATGTAGAGATACAGAAAATACAAATCACCTATACATTTAGTGCTCAACATTCTTCAAGGGGAAACAAATTACCACCACGATTTAATAACAATGTGAGGCTTCACAGATGCTCTTACACAAAGAAATGTGCAAGGTACAAGTCAGAGCAAAGGGAACAAAGGTAAACTGAAAACCAGAAAATGCAGACAAGAATTTTAAATAGGCTTCTAGCCAATGAGATTATGAGATAAAATCTTTAAGAAGTAAAGAACATTAGTCATTTTTGTACATTCTTTGAACTATACTCCCCAGAAATAAAAAGACACCAGCAGGGATGGGGGAAAAAGCCTCTATGGCAATATTTTTAGAGACTGTTCATATTTTGCTTACTATAATTAGCCCAAAGTAGCAACCTATTAAAATAAAACTATCTGTTGTTCTGGGAACATAAAGCCAAGAATCGGAATTGCTGCTCCTTCAAGTCAGCAAATGGCAGCAACTTACAAATAACAAATTTAGGATAACTCAACATTTACAAAGATGTTAAAAATGTGTATTTACACTACAGGTTTCGGGCGCCTGGGTGGCTCAGTTGGTTGGGCGACTGCCTTCGGCTCAGGTCATGATCCTGGAGTCCCGGGATCGAGTCCCGCATCGGGCTCCCTGTTCGGCGGGGAGCCTGCTTCTCCCTCTGACCCTCCCCTCTCTCATGTACTCTCTCTCATTCTCTCTGTCTCAAATAAATAAATAAAATCTTAAAAAACAAAAAAAACAAAAAACTACAGGTTTCTTAGGTTGCTCATCCGAGTCCAGAGATAAACAAAAACCTTCAGTACTGTGCAGTAGTGCATTCATGGATTGCCTCTTAAAGCTACTCTGATTATATTAATCCTATTTCCACTTTTTAAAAATCTGAAATATCTTTTACTTGAAAAAATAATATTCTCTAGGAAGCAAGGAAGGGGACATAAAGGGCTAAGAACCTAGACTCTTTGGAAAAGATTTTTATTCTAATGCAAAGTTTAAAGAGCAATATAGAATTCAAATGTCTCCCTTTTGTATTCGGGAAAGCAATTCCTAAAAAACCAAACACACCCAAAAACCCACTCTTTTCACCCACTCCTTCTATCAAGATAGCCTCCTGACTTACCACTTATATAATCCTTTTGCATACAAAGAATTAGGATTTGAGAATAATTGCATTGCTTGAATTCTTAGTTAGCTTCTCCTCGCATTAGTTTTTATCAGCCAATGTCAACAAGTGGTCACAAGTTCAATATGGAATTCCACATAAACTCAGAGGGATGAGATACATTCCAGACATGCAAACCAGAGACAGACCTTATGGAAACACTCCTGTTTTCCCAAATCTATGCTATTCCCAAATCCTGCTGCAAATTAATTTTTCAATCATGTGTATAAAATGAAATGAATCTTCCTATCTAATGATCTTATTATTTCTCTATCACTTATAAAGCACTATAACACACCCAATTTAAAATTATTTGTATACTTACAGTAAGATTTCCAAACAGGAGGTCTATATTCATCTGTATCTGGAAGAATAAATACCAAATTAACATTATTGATATTTATATTTTAATCACATATATTTAATATAATTAAGTTAAATTAATATATATTTAATCATATATTTAATATATATTTGTTGAGGTCTATGTGTCCTAGGCATTGTGTTGGACTCTAAAGGGCATTCAGAGGTTTTTTGCTCTTGGTCCTTACTTTCTAGGAGTACAGTTTCACAAAGATGTTCAGAGAAAGTTACTGTATTTATTCAACCGGTTATCACATAAAAACACCAAGGTTAATTTTTACAACAGGCACTCATTTCTCACAGTCACTAATAGTCAATAAAGTCTTTATATCTCTGGGCGTAACTCTATAACTATTTCACTGAAAGACCCCTGAAATCATTGGAATTTTTCTTTTTCAGTAATATTGACCAGATAACACATTTAATCCTCAGAAATGTACCTCCCCCATCACATTTGGGGGATTCCAGTGTAAATGGTTTTATTAACATCAGGAGAGAAGAGAAGCAAGGTACTTCTTCAAACGTCATGGACAATCAAAACCAAGAAATGAGAAACATTCCATTGGAAGACAGTGCATCCAGGGAGCCATAAAGGACATGAGGTGAACATCTGCTCTTCAGTCCAGTTCCCCTCACTGCTTGAAAGAGGACTTAGGAGACAGTGTAAAGAGGAGGTGGAAAGAGATGGAAATACAAACACATGAGGGAGATGGGGAAAATAGACAAAGGAGAGGCACCAGTGTGGTCTGGCATCTCATCAGTAAAGTGCAGCTCAGTAATAATTCTGCTGGTCAAAAGCTCTGCCTGCAAGACCACGTAGCTAAACTGGCAGACACAGCAACTTGGTGTGGGAATATGGGGCCAGCTACATCACCTGGTTCTGCTGGTACCCCACATAAACCCATTAAGGAATCTGGTCCAAAAAATCCTGGTCTCCAAGGAGGCAAGAAAATTTCTGGAAAGTTTATTGAGAAGGCTGAATTTAGCATATGTAGATTAAGTAAAAATGATAATAGACTCATCATTCCCCTCAACCTTTAAAACGCTAACACTTCACTTATAAACCACATAAATATTTGGAGCCAGAAGACTACAGCAAGACTACTAATAATAGGCATAAGAATACAAAAAGGAAATTTTTTTTTTTAATATTTTATTTATTTATTTGACAGAGAGAGACACAGCAAGAGAGGGAACACAAGCAGGGGGAGTGGGAGAGGGAGAAGCAGGCTTCCCGCAGAGCAGGGAGCCCAATGTGGGGCTTGATCCCAGGATCCCGGGATCATGACCTGAGCTGAACGCAGATGTTTAACCACTGAGCCACCCAGGCGCCCCCAAAAAGGAAATTCTAGGTCATGTAGAAATTGCTTAGCACTCAGTAGGAGTGCTCAAATATGTTTTTTAATGAACAAATAAAAGATTACATGAATAAATGGGTAATGAAGTAATGCAGCAAATATAGTTGACTCTCATTATTTGTCGTAGTTATATTCTACAGAGGCACCTTGAACACTGACCAAGTGAACACTGAACCATTGCTCCTAAGGGAAAACACAAGATTAGGTTTCTGTATGCCTCTGGTCACAACATTCTCATCAGCCCATCAATACATAACCTTGTTTTATTTGTGTTTCTGTTTAAAGACACCTTAGTTACAATAAACATTATGATTCATTAACACTGAACTCACAGTCAACAACACTTATAACTCATGCCCCAGGGAAGCTCATCTAACACATACATCTTTCTCCATAGGATACATCACAGCCTTCTTGAGCTTAGCAACCCCAGACATCACTTCAGTACTATGTGGGGGGCCCGTTTTAAACAGAGAGGACAAGGGAAGCTCCACATTTTATACTTCTCGTGGACCCTAACTTATGTGCTTCTTCCCTTGGCTGATTTCAATTTGCACCCTTCCCTGTAATAAATCATGATTGTATTAACAGTGATTAGAGAGTTCTATGAGTCCTTCCAGTGAATTATCAAGCCTGAGGGGAGTTTGAGGGACCCCCTCCAACTTGCAGTTGGTGTCAGAATTAAGGAAAGCCTTTGGGACTGTGCCCTCTAACTTGGTAATTGGCCCTAATTCCTCACAAACCCTGTGTAAAGCAGGGTGGAAGCAGTGAGAGCCTTATGTAGATTGCTTTGACATTGGAGAAGGTGAGAAAGAGGCTAATTCTCAAAATCCTGCCTCTGGGGAATTGTGTCTCTAGTCCTAGATAGGGCTTTCTTAGGGAGCATCAACTTTTTTTTTTTTTTTTAAAGATTTTATTTATTTATTTGAGAGAGAGAATGAGATAGAGAGAGAGCATGAGAGGGGGGAGGGTCAGAGAGAGAGGCAGACTCCCCGCCGAGCAGGGAGTCTTAACCAACTGAGCCACCCAGGCGCCCCTGGGAGCATCAACTTTTACTTAAAGCTGTGTGACTTCAGGAAATCTACTACCTCTCTGAATCTTATTCTTTATCTATAGAGTAACATCATCTAAAATGGGAATAGTAACAACACAGGTTTGTTGTGAGGATCAAACTAGGTGTCATACATAAAGCACCCTGCAATTAGGAGGCCTTTAGTAAATGGCCTGCCCTCACCAAGTGAATTTAAAAACACAGTGATGTTACCATAGTAGCCTCAGGCCATTGTCAATGATTTCAGCTGTGCATTCTCTTCTTCTCATTTGTTCTTCCCTGTATATCTACTGTTTTATAGAAAGCATTATTCAAGATGCTACAGATCATAATTCTGTGGCCAAATAAAATGAACATTTAGCAAGTAACCAAGAAATAGTGGGAGAAAAGTTTAAGTTTCCCTTAATATTAAAACAATTCTAATGATTAGTCACTTTTAAGAGTGAAGTTTGGGTTTTAAAAGTCTTTTCCGGGGCGCCTGGGCGGCTCAGTCATTAAGCATCTGCCTTCAGCTCAGGCATAGCCCAAACCAAGTACACTGGCAAGAAAAAACAAGGACACTCCTGAAATAAATTGACCTTGAAAATGGGTTAACTGAAACTGGTGATGTAGGGCCACCCAAAGGTCTTATGGGTTTATTAGGGAAGACAGATTCTGACCCAGCATGGGGCTGATAAGAGAAGTGTCCTCAACCTCCCTGGCATTGAATCGCTGAGTATAAGAACATGAACTAATTGCAGTCTGGACCTCCAAGTGGGGTCACTACTGTGACCTGGGCCAAGTCTGACCAGAAACAGCATCCTAGCAGCAGTAAGACAAGCAACTATGAACAAACAATATGGGGCTGGTCTTTAACACTGACAGAAAGTGATAAAGATAAGGAAGACAGATGGTGTACTATTATAGTGCAGCTCTCTTTCTGGCATTTGGAAGAGGATGGGACCATTGTGGGACTGAGTAAGACTCCTGGGGCTCAAACTAGCAAGAGGAGGAGGCTGCCTAAAGAGGAAGACACTGAACTTCCTGCTAACTGGGGCACTGATTAACAACAACAAACAGGGGAGCAAATTTGGCCCCTGAATTTATATAACAAGTCATGCCAGTTCCTTCTGGATGCCTTTTGACCCAGCAGTTCTGTTCTCTTTCTAGGAATTTATTGTAAAACAATTAAGTATTTTTGGAAAATAGCAATATAGAAGAATATCACTGCAATATTACTTTTAAGATTTTACTTATTCTTTGAGAGAGAGAGAGTGTGCAAGCAGAGGGAGGGGCAGAGGGAGAGGCAGAATGAGAATCCCAAGCAGACTCCACACTGAGGGCAGAGCCTGACGTGGGGCTCGATCTCATGACCCTGACATCATGACTTGAGCCAAAATCACGAGTTGCCACTTAATGGACTGCACCACCCAGGTGCCCCTGTAATATTACTTTTAAGACTAAAGACCTGGGGGGCACCTGGAGGGCGCAGTCTGTTAAGCCTCAAACTCTTGGTTTTGGCTCAGGTCGTGATCTCAGGGTCATGAGATCCAGCCCTGCATTGGGCTGCTTGGCACAGAGTCTGCTTGAGATTCTCTCTCCCTTTGTCCCTCCTGCTCATGCTCACTCTCTCTTTCTCTCTCAAAATAAATGAATAAATCTTTAAAAAGACAAAAAACTGTATTCAACCTAAATGCCTAACAACTGGAAACCAATATGATCAATTATTACATATTCCAGTATGAAGATACCTTGACTACATCAAAAGGACTTCATCTTGTACTCTGTTAAAAGTCTGTTCTCTTTTAAATATTTTACATCTTTTAAACCAGTGGTTCTCAAACTTTTGGTTTCAAAAATCTGCATTCTAAAGAGCTTTTAATATCTACTGATATTAACCATATTAGAAATTAAAAGTGACACAATTTGTTTTCATGTTTTAACAAATTTTTGTTAAATTTTTGTTAATTTGTTAAATATAAAAATTATATTTTAACACTTTTATAAAAGATAACTTTATTTTTCAAAACAAAAAATTAGTTTTACATTTTGCAAATCTCTTTAATGTCTGCTCTAACCGAAGACAGATTCTCATACCTGCCTCTGTATTTAATCTATTGTGATATCACTTGCCATGTACCTTCTGGAAGATTCAACTAGACACTTGTGAGAGAATGAGAGTGAAAAAGGCACATAATGTTGTCTTCTTATTAATCTGTTTTGACTTTTAGAAACTCAGAAAAAACTTGGGGACCCCAGAGGTTCCCCAACCACACTTTGAGAATAACTTTTATTTTTTTTTGAAGATTTTATTTATTTGACAGAGAGAGAGAGAGACAGCGAGAGAGGGACCACAAGCAGGGGGAGTGGGAGAGGGAGAAGCAGGCTTCCCGCCGAGCAGGGAGCCCGATGCGCGGCTCAATCCCAGCACCCTGGGATCATGACCCGAGCCAAAGGCAGACTCTTAACTGAGCCACCTAGGCGCCCCAAGAAGGAATCACTTTTAGCCAGAGTGCCAAAAAAGAAAAAACAGAGGTGGTATCTTCTGATGAGGGCTTTGAAAGACAGATGATTTTTAAAGTCAAGGGGTTACGGGAGGGAGACTGGAAGTAAGAGGGAGAACAGCATTCTGAACAGAGGAACACAGTGAGTAAGGCACAGAAACAAGAAAGTTCAGGAAGTGTTTGAGGAACTGTAAATAATGTAGACTGGTTGAAATAAAAGACATGTGGAGGAAAGCTTGAGACTCAGGCACTGGAGGGATCCTAGGCTGAGTTGTCCAGGAAGCATCTATAAGTAACGAAATGTGTTTTCTTCTGCTTGCTACTTACTTCCCACTAAATACTCTGATGTCTACAGAGAGAAGAGTACTGTAGTCAGGCCCAGACCAATTCTCACGAGTTAGAGAAAAGGAGCCAAGCAGCAGGAAGGCCAAAGGTAGAAGAGCGAGCCAGTAAAACAGATGGCGCAAAGACTCAGAGGAGGTGGGGAGTAATGAGCTCAGAAGTCACAGGTGGTGGGCGAGGTCTGAAGACAGACTACACCGTGTCTAAGCAAGTGGGAAAGTAAAAAGACAGGTTCTGTTGGAGACATTCTCCTCTGTGACTGTAAGCAAATTCTAAACAAATAAATGCAGGAAAACAAAGGAAAAAAAGAGACCAGTGAACTGTATGGAAAATGAGGGCCAAGTTGATTAGTATGTACAGTCTGATCGCACTTTTTTTTTTTTTTGAAGATTTTATTTATTTGCCAGAGAGAGACAGCGAGAGAGAGAACACAAAGCAGGGGGAGTGGGAGAGGGAGAAGCAGGCTCCCCGCTGAGCAGGGAGCCCAACGTGGGGCTCGATCCCAGGACTCTGGGATCATGACCTGAGCCCAAGGCAGATGCTTAACAACTGAACCACCCAGGCATCCCTGATCGCACTTTTAAGAAATGAAAGAAAAGATGTATGTGTGTGTATATATGGGGGCAGAGGGCCAATGAGAGAGAATATGAAAGATCTAGAATAGCATACACTCATTTAAATAACAGTCGTGATCTCTAGATTAGCCTTTCTCACCCAGGTTCCTCATCCGACCCACAGAGCACAGAAAATGTTGTTGAGTGACTATTTTCTCAGTTCTCCCATGGACAGGTGTCTCTCTAAAAGCACAGGAGAGATGTTAACTTAATACATACAATGGATCCCCTAGGCCTCTGGGCAATATTTTTTCCCAGAACCAGGAGGAGTAAGGCTTCTCTAGATGGTGACTTTACTTGTCTTATACGTCTATGTGGTTTTTAAAAAAAATATACAGTAAATATATTACATTTGTTTTTGGGTTTTTCTAAAGATTTTATTTATTTATTTGACAGAGAGAGACACAGCGAGAGAGGGAACACAAGCAGGGGGAGTGGGAGAGGGAGAAGCAGGCTCTCTGCTGAGCAAGGAGCCCAATGCGGGGCTCGATCCCAGGACCCTGGGATCATGACCTGAGCCGAAGACAGATGCTTAACCGACTGAGCCACCCAGGCGCTCCGAATATATTACATTTGTAAGGAAGGAAAAAACTATTAAAAACAAAAAGTATAAGTTAACTATCTGTAAGAACAGAAAACGGGGAAACTGATTCAGATAGAGAAAAGTCCCACTTAACAAACCCCACGGGCTAAGTTTTTGAGTGGGCTCTTGAAATGAATACACCACCTGAGAAATCATATTCCCAGTCTGAGAGGCCTGGAAATCAGATACAAGTTTTGTGGCAACTTTAGACATCATAAGGTACCATCCTCCTATACAGTCTTTGAATTCCCCTCAGAATCTCTATGCAGGTCTTCATTTACCTCTTCTGCCTGTTCTAACTGAATCTTCTGAATGGCAGGCATTCATTAAGGAAAGGAGAACAGTTTCATAATGAAATTTTCTTTTACTTTTGGTTAATTGCTAGAGTTGTGAGTCAAGGAGATCTTACTTTTACATATTTTATCATGTCTATGAAAAATTATTCCAATTTTTTCTCACTTTCGAAACTCAAAGATTCAGATTTTAAACAAGTTCTAGTGTTAAAATTGCTTTTGCCTATAATTTTCTTCTGTGCTGCCTTCTTCTCTAAATATTAATATTTTCAGGATATTCATTTTTTTCCTTTAATATTAAAAATTTCAAGGGCGCCTGGGTGGCTCAGTTGGTTGAGCGACTGCCTTCGGCTCAGGTCATGATCCTGGAGTCCCAGGATCGAGTCCCGCATCGGGCTCCCTGCTCTGGAGGGAGTCTGCTTCTCCCTCTGACCCTCCCCCGTCTCATGCTCTCTCTCTCTCTCTCTATCTCATTCTCTCTCTCAAATAAATAAATAAAATCTTAAAAAAAAAATTTTCAAAATGCTCATCTGTATCTTTAAGCAATGATTTCAAAATCTTAGTAAAATATACTTAGGATAATATCTTTGATAGGATATATTATAACTTATAATATTAGGGCTATTTGGGAGGTACTCCAAATGTTCATTTATTGATTGACAAGATTAAATTTATTTATAAATACCCTAGTATTCTGCATTTTTATATTAAACCTAAAACACTGTGTGATTGAGTAAATCTTTATGCTCTCTCCGGTTGGATCCTATTTGCATCCAATATATGTATGGATGTTGTTGAAAATGACAGACTTTAGAGAACAAAAAAAAAAAATTATTTCATTCTTTTTATCACATAGGTTGTGTATTATTATATAGTTATATGAATTCTTGGGTTTAGAACAACATTCTTGTGGTTAAGTTTAAATCTGCTTAGCTTTTTATTTTAAAAAATAAAGAGTTCATTGTAGAACAGACTAGAATGTTAAATTTAAGCTGTTTATTGTTTTAGGCTCAAACCAAAAAGGCTTTTGCAACTTTTTAACAATATGATGGATTTTTCTCAAAAAGGACTATGTTGCATTTAAATGAGGTTTAGACTAATGAGGCAGGAACCCTCAAAAACTGTGATTAATGTTTTAAAGCACATTTGTTTCAGATTGCCTTTGGTTTGAAAATTAACAATTTTGATTTCTGTAAAAATAATGACATTTATTGACAAGAAAAAAGAGCTTTTCTTCCCTTCAAATGAAGACTCACCTTTCCACCAACTGGCAAGAAATTCCCTGTCCTGCTTTAATCAGAAAATGAAAGGCATTAATGACATGTTGCTATTCTGTTTCTGTAGCAAATTTTGGCATACTAAAATAATGAGATGCTTGTGATCACAAAACTCTATTTTACTATAAAATGATCTTTTTAAAAGAACAAGGGCATAAAATTCACAATAAATAACAAATAATTCTATTGTTAATATTTGAGAGAGTCACAAAAGAAAACAATGAAACTTCTTACTCTAAACGAAATATATTTTGGGGGAGGGAGAAAAATAAAAATAAAAGAAATGTATTTCTTGGAATACAAAAATTCAGAGTAAAAATTAAAAGGCTCATAGTAACATATACAATTTTAAACGAATGAGGAAACAAATAAAAAAGTGCTTCACTATGTGTCTAGGTATCTCATATCCTGACTAAATTTCTTTCCTAGAAAATGCTTCCAAACGTGGGAAGTAAGCATTTCAACTGAGATAGTTAAAATTCACTCTGCAAAGTCATGGCCAAATCAGGTCAGTTAAATTCACCCTTAGGAGAAACAAAGTCATTTAAAACTGTTCCAAGTTGAAAACTGATGTGTCATGATACAATTCTGACAGAAATAAACTATTTTTAAAACCAAAGATAATTGTTTTTAATTCTTCAGAGAATAATGACCCAGAACCACTAATGCATGGGAGAAAATTTCTGACTACGACAGTGCTCACATGCAGCTTCACCAAAGATCTCCAAAAACAAACATTTTGTCAATGCAGTGTTCATCTCTTCACCATGGACCTGTAGATTGGGCCAACAAAGCCTCCTGAATGAAATGTGAACCAAACTTGGAAACCTCTCCTTTTTAAAACTCAAATTTGGCTTTTTATTAAAGACCTAAGCAATGTTTCCTCTAACCAATTTGGCAGACCTAACAAACAGACTACACAAAGTCTTTCTGCTGACTCAAACCATACGCTAGGAAACAAAAAGCTATACACAGGAACTGGGTCATTCAACTCAATTCAAAGGTAAGGGTTGTCATTTTCCAACCTACTATTTCTTCTTCTAGATGGCAAGTCCTATCTCTCTGAGGTTCTCTTTAAAAATCTGATCATTTCTGATACTGTTTATCCTAGCATGTTGGCACATTAACAGAAAGTCCTCAGATAGGCCCACTTAACCACAAGGTTTCCAACAGAGAACTTCAAGAGGAGATTTAACTCCTGCCAAGCCTCCCAATAACATCTAAACATTTTCAGATGGCTTTCATTTGGATTATATATATATTAGATAGGTAAAAAAATTCACTTCTAATAACATGACACATTTCCTAAAACCCTCTCCCACAAAAAAACAGAATTCACAAAACTCAACAATAGCAAAAAAAGTATATCCTCCTACTTGATTTTTCTATAGCTCGCACTTCTAAAATCAGACTGCAATGAGTTAATTCTTTATGAAGTCCTTGTAATTCATCCTACCATGTGGTATAGACATTTCACCACACACACAAGAAGAATATACCTGATTAACACTTGTCCAAATCCAACAACTTAGACTTTTAACCATCCAGAGCACTTGAAGTTACAGATGTTAAAAATGTAATCACATGAAAACTCTTGGCAAGATTTTTGCTTTTTATAAATATAAGTTCTGGAAAACCACCAACTAAAACTCTGTTTTTAGTGAGGAGCTTCCTAGATAGTCATCTAAGAACCATAACTCTCTTGTCTCAAATGCCCTCATTTCCTTCAGTAGAAACAGTATACAGTTGACACTTGAGCAGCACAGGGCCATGTATTTGTGGATTTTCTTTGGATAAATACAGAAGAGTACTGTAAATGTATTTTCTCTTCCTTATGATTTTCTCAATAACATTTCATTTTCTCTAGCTGACTTTCTTGTAAGAATACAATATATAGGGGCGCCTGGGTGGCTCAGTTGTTAAGCATCTGCCTTCGGCTCAGGTCATGATCCCAGAGTCCTGGGATTGAGCACCACATCGGGCTCCCTGCTCCGCGGGAAGCCTGCTTCTCCCCCGCCCCGCTTGTGTTCCCTCTCTCGCTGTCTCTCTCTCTCTCTGTCAAATAAATAAAATCTTTAAAAAAAAAAAAAAAGAATATATAATGCATTTAACATGCAAAATATTTGTTAGTCGACTATGTTATTAGTAAGGCTTTGTAGTTAAGTTTTGGGGGAGTCAAAAGTTACACTCGGATTATCACCTGTGTGGGGAGGTGGGCACCCCTGCCCCCGCAATGTCTAAGAGTCCACTCTATATCCTCCTTGTTCTTGTCTTACAAGAAAACTTGTAAACAGTACTTTTCCCTTTGTTGTTATTCATCCTTTGAGACAATTATTCCTAACCCACATATTTCCCATAAACCAACACTGTTTTGTAGCAAAAAGAATCTATCGCCATATTCTCAGGCTTAGGAGTTGCACTAGAATGTGTTTATTAAAATGTGCATTATTTTTTTAACACAGATTCCTACAACAGTTAGGATTCTCCAATGATGACAGTCAACATGTCATTTTGCCAGCAAGCATTAAAACAGCAACTTTTCAAAGTCTCGCTTTACATCAATGTTTCCAAGCTTTATCAAGAGGACAGGTACTCAGAATAACGTATATACTAAACCTTAAATGAAATCTATGGGGAAAAGAGAGATAATGCTTCCATTATTAATACCTTAACATCACAGATAACTGAGATGGGAAAAGATCACAACATGTCTCATCTTATCACTGATAATTTCCTAATGCACTTCTTTTAAACTGGACTTCTCTGGGAAAAACAGTCACTTAAAAAAAGTGGATTGTGAAGAACACAGAGAAGTTTGCTTTAGATTACAAGATGTGGAGCCAAATATGGAATAAGGCAGTTCAAAGCTGTGGGAAAGAAAGCAGAGTGAGATATGGAAGTAATACTGTGTTAAGCACAAATGAGCAGAGCTGGATCATTCTAAGCACATGCTAACTGTCCCAAGGTATAATAAAATGCTCAGCATGTTTTAATTAAATGTGCTTTGACTGCACACATGACAGTAAAGGCTGCCAGGATGTAAAAAACTCTTTGGAAATGAGAACTTGTGTTCCAAATTGGTAGGCACCTATTTTTCTTCTTTTGAGAGCAGGACCCGGGGTATGAAAGCTCTCTCTTGTGGACAGCTGCATCCAACGAGGCCTAAAATGAACATGTAATGGACTTACTTGTCTTAAAAGTTCCTGCAGTGTGGGGATAGGAAAAGCAACTACCTGAAAGTATAATAGCAACAAAGGCCCACCTTTTCTCAATCCTAAAATCCAAATGCTTTGAAAAGTAGAAGTATTTTTATAACTCATTTGGCAACACACACTGGTCTGACCTGAAACTAAAAGTATTTTCATAATTCCTTATAACTCATTTGATGGCCAAAAAAAAAAAAAAAAGCCTCACCTAAATGGCTATAAGAACATTTACAGTCCTTACTTACTCCCTTGAGTGTGACTGTTCATTCGTTTCATTGCAGAACTATCAATGTGTGATTACAGATTGCAATCTCAGACAATGCTGGGGTGTTATAAAACAGATTATATATATAGGAAATGTATTACCTTTCTAAAATCTGAAAAATTCTACATTCTAATGCACATCTGTAACCAGAGGTTTTGGATAAGGCATTCCAAATCCACTACTGTTATTAATATTTATAGCTGACCATGTGAAAGCACAAGTTGGAACATGACACTGTTCTGCTAGATTCTCTCCAATGGCTTCTTGGGTCACTCAGACTAAAGCCGAACTCTTTACAACTGCATACAAGATTGCTACAAAGAGAACTACAACATTGACATCAGCTGGTAATTTCTTAGAAATGCAGAACTGCAGGACCTGATTCCCTGCTATGAATCAGAAACTGCATTGTCACAAGCCCCCTGGCTGATATGCATGCCCGTGATTCAGAAGCAATGACCCCCAAGATCCTAGAGGACTTGTCCTTACCTTGTGGGGTTCACCTCCTACTTCTCTCCCCTCCTCCACTCCTCTCCAGTCTCTGGTTTCTTTGCCATTTATCAAACATACAAGAAACACTTCCAGCTAGCTGCTCCCTCAGACTGGCATGTTCTCCCTGCAGGTATCTCTCCTGACTTGCTCCTTCACCTGTTTCAGTTCTTTACTCAAAAGTCATCTTCTAAATGAGGTCTCCTCTGTCACCCTATCTAAAATGTTTAAAATCCCCTGGCAGTCCATATTCTTCTGTTTTCATTAGTTGTCATAGTTTTTCTCGTTAGTACCTATCACTATCTAAAATACGAACATTTTACCAAATTATGTTTGTTTTTGTTCGTCTCTTCCCGTTAGATGAAAGCTTCATGAGGGCAAAGATTCTTGTCTGTTTTTCACACTGCCTGGAACAGCAATTCTCAGTGTGGTCTGTGGACCCCTGTGGGGGATGCACAAAATCAAAACTATTTTCATAATTATATTAAGAAGTTATTTGCTTTTCTCACCATCAGTGCAAAAGCTGTGGTGGGTAAAACCGCTGGGCTTCAGCACAAAACCATACAAGGGCACCGAACTGTATTAGTTGTCACTGTATTCTTCACTGCCACACACGCTCACGGCTTAAAAACAAATTCAGTTTCATTTAAAAATGTCCTTGATGAAGCATTTTAAAAACCATTAATTTTATTAAATCTTGACCCTTGAGTGTGACTTTTTTTTTTTTAAGATTTTATTTATTTGAGATAGAGAGGGAGACAGCATGAGCAGGGGGAAGGGCAGAGGGAGAGGGAGAAGCAGACTCCCCGCGGAGCAGGGAGCCCAATGCGGGGACTCGATCCCAGGACCCCGGGATCATGATCCGAGCCGAAGGCAGATGATCAACTAGACTGAGCCACCCAGGTGCCCCAGTATGTGTCTTTTTAATATTCTGTGTGATAAAATGGGAAGTGTGCATAACACATATCTACAGTATGATGTTATCTTGGGGAAAAAAATATGTGCGATTATTCAAGTTGTGAGCTGGACTAGCTACAATTTTCATAAACA